CTTTCAAATGATTTTGTTTGTTGGAAACTTCTTGGTGGGATTGCGAGTATCCAAACTCTGGGAAGAGTGCGCTTGAATAACTGAGTTTTGGGACGCAAAAGCCATGCATTGTTCGATGCTATGCTCCAGGAAGTTGGGAAAGTGAGAATCGGATCTTTGCTGTTTCACTGCTTTTGTCTGTGAGTTGCAAAATTCAGAGAAGAGAATCACTGAAGTCACCATGAAACAAGGCAAGTGAATTACATCTTTCTGTCTGTCCGTTTAGGGTGTTTCAAACCCTTTTCTGTATTTTATATGCTTTCAGACTTGGGATCTTTCAAATGTTATACGTTTATCTACAATGCTCTCCTACTTTCTTATTGCAGCTCGCTTTGTTTTTTTCATCACCAAATGTCATCTGAATGTCCTTTCTCTGGTTTATGCGCGTAATTGTGACTATGAATGATAGTACTCCAAACGGAACCGAAATTCTAGTTGAATTGATCTCTCAATTGACAAACGAGTTCCGACTTCGGTAATATTTCCAAAACAAATTGCAATTGAACACGACCTTTCAGTATTTGTTACTTCCGTCTAAGTGGTCGAGTCTTGCTCAAGCTGAAAAGCCAGCTGGATAACATAACAAAGGAGGAAGTTATAGAGAGTGAGTGCACTCGCCTCTTTAGAGAAAGGTTTATGAATAGAAGATTGCAAAAAGATTGGACAACATTTGACTCTACTAACTAAATAATTCAAGAATCAAGAATGATTTGGCAATTGTATCTCTGCTTTCTCTTTCAACTTTGAAAACCCTGACCATTAATATCAATCGGAACTATCCCTCATATAGAATCCCATAGCTTGGTGCAAATTGTGAAGCGTGGCATCCGCTATCTCCGTGGCTCTATCTGCACCTTCTGACAATACTTTGTTTAGATACGCTCTGTCCTCTGTTATCTCCTGATAACGGATCTGCTTACGAAAAACATATATGAAACCAGAAAAAACATCAACTTATGCAAAGGAAACGCATGCCCTTCTAACAATATACTTAAAAAGCTGCAAAAACACCTCTGTTCTTCGTATGACACGAGTAGATGAAATGATACAAACTCAAAAGATGATAAAACTTTTGACTTGACAGACCTGGATTGGATTTAGATGTTCGATCAAAGCATCTGCAAGGAGAGGCTTGAATGTACCCCAGCTCATATCTTTGCATTCTTCCATCACTTCCTGCAACAGATCAAAATTATGTTCACCAGATTATAGACTATATCATCACTCCTTGCCTGGTTTATATCTTTACGTAATTATTTTGACATGTGAAAGCATCTCCGTGAACCCAGGTCATTAGAGCCTCCATACCTCTTTCGTCTTGCCTGAAACAATCTGATAAACGGAGAGGAGATTGTTGCATTCAGGTCTCTCAGCGTTGTCAAATTCAAGGCTGTTGGAACAACAAAATGCAGAAACTTTCAATAAAGATATTAGATCTCTCAATATTAAAGCTAAACCAGAAACACGGAAAAAAAAGCACTGCAAGAAACTTTTAGCGACATTATTAGCACTCACCCTGCAAATGAGTCTGTCTTACACCGTTTAATCTTGTCCGCAATCAACTATACAAATTCAAGAGGGTTGAGAAATGAATTTAAGAGCAGAAGAACTACACATACATCCAGCATGACACAAGAGTACGTATCACACGTGCAGAATATGCTGTGGATGTGTGGCATTGTATTGTGCAGCGGTTGTCACCAAGAAAAATCAAGAAAATTGGATGTCACAGCTTTCATTAAAATGGTAACAGGTGTATCATATACATGCTCAATGAGACAACGCTATTTCAAAAGCCTTGCAAACATCACATTTTCATTTTACTTACATCTTTTGAGTCAAGGAGATTGATCCGGGACTGATCAGAAGGTGCAGACTTGGACATCTACAAGAGTACATGACAATAAAACCTCAGCAACAAGTAGGAAATTCTTCTGAGTCATCAGATATTGGACTGGTTCATAGGATCTTCTCAAGTTGACAGATGAAAAAATCTATCCGGACCACATTTAGTGAGGCAAATCTCAGAAGTGTGTAAATTTTTAGAACTTAGCTAGGACTGAAAAGAACAGACTGCCTAGTTTTGAAATTCTCTTCCAAGTTAACAAATACAAAGGGTTAATCTCAATATATTTCCAATATGATTTGGGAAAGCTATTCTTTCTCGTTTAAATTTTATTTATTAAGCATTATGGCCAATAGTGACATAACTTCTGAATGCAAAAAGAAAAGTAAATGAAAAGGAAAACATTCAATTAGCAGTGAATGAAAACATTCTACCTTGGAAAGACCATCAGTAAGAGACATAACTCGGGCTCCAACTTGTGGTATGAGTGGTTCTGGTATCTACAAACAGGATAAATTTGAAAACCGATTAACCATCTGTGATAAACCTACAAAGACACAAATGAAGATAGACAAAGCATTTGGAAAGTCTCACCTTAAAGATTGAACCACCGCGTCTGGAAATGAAAATCGCCAATGTTATACGGATGACGGGATACAAATGAAGGGAATTTAAGCCATTAAGAAACATGAAAAGCATAGATCATAAGCACTTGTTCGAACAGTCAACTTAATATACTAAATGCGCATAGCAAAATTCTATACCCTCCAAGCTTCTTCCACTTCCTTCCACCATATAAATTATTCACACGCTGAGCCAGATCACGGGCAAGTTCTAGGTGCTGCTTCTGGTCCTCACCAACAGGGACAAAATCCGTCTGCAGAGGCATATTGCAGAGTATAAGGATCATGCAATCGAGCAAAACAGTCATCTTACATGCAATAAGCAGGTATGTACATACACCTCTTTAACTGGACAAAGAAACAATCCCAAAGACAGTTGAATGAAAAAATCTTGCATGTACCTAACTAATATAAGTTTGTTAATTTACCAGTGTTCCTTCTTCATTACACTAATTTCAAATCTCACTTGACTCACCTGATACAAGACGATATCAGCAGCCATCAGAACTGGATAAGTTAACAAAGAGACAGAGGCATTCTCACCTCCCTGCCAAAAAAAAAAAAAAGAGGATTAAGATGGAATCAGTAAACAGAATCATATATGTAAATATTTTCAGGTTTATGCAGCAGAAAGTCTTTGAATTAACATATAAGCACCTCCTTGCGTGATTTCTCTTTGAATTGAGTCATTTTCTGTAGCCAACCAATAGGTGTGGATGAACATAATAGGAACATCAACTCCGAATGAGCGCGGACGTGAGATTGCACAAACACAGAAGCCTACAAAGTGTTTTCTTTGATTGGTTAGTTCAGATTACATGTTGATTACCTTCAAAACAAGATTTCATCGAAAACTAACCTTAGAAATGTCTACGCCACATGCTAGATAAAGTGCTGCGGTATCCCTGGTTGACTTTCTTAGTTGTTGTGTGTCATGTGGTAGAGTTATCTACATAGGTAAAGACAGATATATAAACGCCACGACAGGAAACAGTACCCAAAACTCAGTTTTGAAAGGTAGATAATTCCATACCGCATGAAGGTCTACGATAATAAAGAGCGTTTCATACGTATCCTGCAAACATATAAACACACAACGCCTGAAACAAAGTGAGATAAACTGAATCTTTTTCCTTGAAGCATTGGACTATACAGCAACCCAATCTAAAGTGATGAATTTTGAGACTGAGTAGGAAAATATTAACATGAATATTAGAATTGTAATGCACATCTGATAAGGGAATCTACCTAAGAGTAAATCGAATGAAATTAGAACCTGAAGAGCGACCCAGTTTTTGATTGCGCCGAGGTAGTTGCCTAAGTGAACTGAACCTGTAGGCTGGACTCCAGAGACAGCACGTTTCCTGCCATTAGAAGAATCAAGTAAAAAGGTTTAAGAAGGAAATCAAAATTCTACACAGAAACAGAGGCATTGCAGGTAAAAAAGCAGCCAAAAGACGAGACTTTACATTACAGAAGGAGAAGTTTGGTCGGCGGCGGCGGAGCAACAGCATCGGAAGCCATCTCCGGTGAGCGGAACGGGAGAAAGAGGGGCAGGTTTTCTGAGAAATCTAGAGCTATGGCCGAGACGAGAGAACCTGAAGAGAGAAATGGAATCTAAGGAGGAGCAAGTAGAGAGAGAGGAGAAGAAGAGTAGTAACCTGGAGGAAGAGAGGGTAAGGAAGTGAGAGAGAGTCGCGTGCGCCAT